TCTAACTCACACCAAAGTTTTTCTAATGAATTTTCTCTCACCAAAGTTCTCTCTCTCTAATAATTTATTTATTTTTGGCCAAATTGAATTAACATTGCACATGCTTTTGAGACCAAAATTGAAGGTTGGTGGTGGGGCAAACAAGAGTTTCATACACCTTGTTTTGGACCCAATTTAATTCTTGGATAAAAGAACTCTTTTAAGTTACATAATTTTAGTTCATTTCAATTTAATTCCTATGTTTTTAAAAAGTTATTTGATTAAAACTCGCGTCTTCGTCATCTATTAGAGATCCTAAAAATCAAATAAAAACAAGTAGTAGAGTCATAGAAATTTAAAGTGCATTATTGATTGCTCTATTAAAATAATTCTTTTTACCCAACGATGTGAGGTGGAAATTAAACTTAAACATTAAATTTTTAGAAAAAATGTATAATACTTTAACCAGTTAAAGTTATATTTAGGTTGACAATCAAAATAATGTTTTAAAATCTAACCCATATTTTATGGTTTTAGATCAACGTGACTTATCAAGCCCCTACATCAATTATAACAAAATGTCACGTTCAATAGTTCATAACCACAAATTAATAACTTCTCATATGTGTTGAGTTTTTGTTTATCTTCTTGAATTGCACTTCTCATAAACCTTAATCAAATAATAAAAACGGCAATAAAACTTTTAAAATTATCTGGATCGGTTAAGGATTCCACATTGAAAAATATATGATCACTACCAAAAGCTTATAATATAAATGAATATTGATATGGTATATCAAAGATCAAAAGGTTTCAAATGGGCATACCGTCTAAAAATTAGATCTGATTAAGATTGGTGAGTCCAAAAGAGCCATCGTCAAGCTTACTTCTGCTCCCCAATCGAGCAAAATGGAGCACTAAAGTCCCCTACCAGCGCCCTTTTATATCCTTTTGAAAGAATGAAATGCATAGGGACCATCCTTTTGGTGTGACATGCTTCCTGAAATTTAGGATTCGCAAGAGTCCTCGGACCCTAGGCTAACCCCACGAATATTATTGATAAGAAGAAACTGAAACTAAAGTTCTAA